TGTCTATTTATAATCCAGATAGAATTTTTCCAAAGTTTGTCCGGCGAATAAAAGTATCACCATTCGATGCAGAATTAAATTCTGAGTCGAATGGTGTAGTTCTCATGGACGGGACATACTTAGTAAAAACGTTTTTACCTAACATATCGTTTGTTCGTGCTAGCTCCTTCGTGCTAGCTTCACACCGATGCGATCTTTCCTCCCTTCCTTGTTGTTTCGCATTCAATTTCGGGAAACCGAAGTTGGGGTAGTGCTATGAGTTAGCGCGACTTGAACCGAACAACATGCTTGCCTTTCGCTTGCTTGCTTCTATCTTTCTCCGTTGTTTCGCATTCAATTTCGGGAAACCGAAGTTGGGGTAGTGCTATGAGTTAGCGCGACTTGAACCGAACAACACGCTTGCCTTTCACTTGCTTGCTTGCTTCCTTTCTACTTTTCATCTGGCTGAAATATCATTTATAATGAATCGACGTTAGCAAGACGAGACCTTGATCATGGATGTATATGGAATGTAAGTCAATAGCAATCGATAATACGCCTTATCTATCAAAGAGTGTGGTTCAATTATCGGCTTTATATTTACTTGTACATGATGATATTAATGAGATGAGTTGTCATCAAGTTGCGGCGTACAAAGTTATACATAGAAATTATGAAGGTAGCCATTCTCGAAAACATTCTTGAATGAGCTTCGTATGTTGATTACTGTTGGCACTTTTTTCGCCATATCATCGAACACTTTGCATCAAAACTCACGATGCCATGAAAAATTCTCAAGTAGATTGACTGAGCTGAAAAGATTGCTCGTTTTGATGAGATTGCCACGGAGTTTGCACATACAAGATACAGACATGTGTTTTGATACAAGCCATGTCTTTTTTTGTGTATTTATATGACTGTAATAGTAATTTCATATGCGTTGGATTATGAAAAATAAAGATAAATCGAAGTGTGGGTGCGATTGTGAGTATGGAATATAAGAGCGAGAGCAAGTGAGCGCTGATGGCTGCGCAAGTGAACGAGACAGATCGAAGACAAATTGAAATTTTAGGAACGTAGAAAGGCTTTGAACATTCATACAAATGCAGATAAAAAAGAAATGCCTTTAGTAAGGAGAAAAGTCAAAAACTCTAGTGTGTAAATATATGACTCTGTGTACAATAAGTGAAAGATTTGTTCCTAGCGACCAGTCGTAGTTTGAATCATGCACAAAGCTTAAACTTGTGAGAAGCCTTCAGTGTGAGTAACGAATTGGGGGCCTAGTCATAATGAATGCTAGTATCAATGATGCCATAGCGGCAGAGCACTGTTCCTTAGCTTCATCGTCTCCGTATGTGACAGATTCACCAACCAACTGTTAGTTTTGTGTACTGCAGCACCGACGAAATCAGGAAATTCTTTAGTGAGTTACGACTTATCAAGTAGGAATGACACTTTACTAGTACTTTACTGGGCCCGGTACAATCTGACCACAGTCATTTTACCGACAAATTCATTTCTATGTGCAGCTGTTTTGGCATTCAGATTCTGATAATATCGATAAAAATGCTGCACTTTAGATCGAATACTGTCGCTACTATGGATATCCTTCACCCTCACCCTCACCCTTACCTTTACATACAACCTCACTCACATCTTCTCCTGCACAATCACCTAGAGACAATCTCCCTAATGACGACGGGAAATTCGTACATCGTCTTGTTTGAGTTGGCGTTCCTCTGTTCTATGGCCGATATCTAATTATTTTATGTTTGGGGCTCTTTCGAATGAAATTTTTTTTAATTTTATTTCGTCCATGTTTTCATGGAGAAATCTTACTGTCGTTATTAGGCGTAACTTTCGTAACAGCAACGGTCAGCTAATTTTCATACTTAATAACTAATGGATGGGCCATAAAGAACGACGGTCTTCATATTTCTTGGATATCGCTGTCACTTTTTATTGCCTCGTTCTATTTTTTTTTGAATGATTCGTCGTTCGATTCTCTTCGAAAAAGGGTATTTTCTGTTGCGTTCGATCAGATAAGTTTCATTTTAGAAAATGAAAAGTAAAGATATACAAAAACGTGTACTTTGAAAATACAAAAATAGTGATGAACCGACGAAGATTTGTCGAGATCTTAATGGTTGTCTCAGTGTTCCAACGATCGAACGATGGTGCAAAAGCATCCGTGACACAGGCTGTATCAATTTATCAAAATCACCCGGTCGCCCGATAACACTTCTAACAAAAGTGACCATTCGAAAGGTCAAACGCTGACACAAACGGTGGAGATCTGTATCTTCTCAAACAAGTGTCCGGAGGATACTCAAGAATGATCTAAGACTCCACGCCTACAAAATACAAAATGAAGCGATGCTCACCGATGAGCATAAAGTGAAAAGAATTCAATTTGATAATTGGATACGAACAAATTTCCGGAAAGAAGATATGATGAATATTCTGTTTTCTGATCAGAAGATGTTCGACATTGATGGAGTTTATAACTCTCAAAATGATCGAATATGGGCGGTAGAGCCCGTCGGGTCTACCCGGACACGACCGGGTCTGGGCCCGGGTCCAGAAATGTCAGATTCATCGGGTCCGGGCCCAAGAAAAATTTTATACTTAAAAAATTATATAATTTCAATTTTTCATTCGTTTCAAAGTATCTCTAATTCATATATTGAAAGACAAAAGCAAAATAAACACTTTGTAAATAAATTATAAATCAAATAAAACTTATTTGTCTACATTAAGATCAACAATATCGTCCATATCATCTGAAGAATAATCGAAATCAATATTTGTTTTGGTTCGTTTAGAAACTGATGTCGGCATTTAATTCTCTTTGTTTTGAATATTCGACATTTGTTCATCATTTGATAATGATAATTTTCTTTTTTGTTGTTCATGTTGTTGTAATAATACTTTTTCATTTGTTTTTCGTAAATTAAAAAGATTCTTTTGAAGAAATAGTAATTTGTTCAGTCTGTCAGAAGATAAACTTGATCTTCGATCTGTGACAGTATTCTTTGATGAAGAAAATAATCTTTCAACGCTTGTATTTGAAGCAGAAATAGCACAAATTATTCGTACAATTAATGATAACAATGGAAATGATTTGGAATTTTCTTTCCAAAATGCAAAAACATCATCTTTTTCTTTTATTTGAACATTCAATGACACATATTCATCTAATTCGTTTACCGGTAAGGTAATTTGTTTTGCAATTAGTCGTGTTTGATCAAAGCAGCGAGATAATAAACCAGTAGTATCATCAGGTTTTTTTTGTAATCATGTTAGTTGTAGCTGTTGTTTGAGAAGTATCATCGACAACTGGTACATGCTTTAATAACTCATTCTTTACTAAATTGATTGCTTTATCTTTATCTTTTGGCGATGTATCAAAATGTTTTAATGAAGGATGAAGTAAAGTAGCAATATAATGTTCATCTTGAGGTATCCATGCTAATTTAATTCGTTCACTTAAAAGAGGAAACGTAAATTCATAACGGAACTGGAATGTTTGAGTGTTTTAACACTGATTCTCAACCAATTTGAAAAAGGCACTGTCAAAGAAAAATGCTTAATATATTACTGTAAACTAAGCGAAATTTGTACAAAACAAATCTAGTCAAATTGATGTCCTGGTTAGTATTTTTGAATGGTTACTTACCCAATAAACAATTTTAATTCCTTTAATCCGACACTATCATCGCGATTGATTTTACAATGGTCAATTAACAACTGTCGATATGGAATAACTAAATCTGAAGTTGGTCGTTCTTCTTCACTGAAATCATTAATAACTCGATCAAAAAGTTCCAAAAAATCACATAATTCTTTCATCAACTCTTTGTCAATAGAAACGAAATCATCCATAAAATGTTTATTTAAAACACCAGGTAATTCGTCATAAACTTTCAAAAACACCTCCAGCATATAAAACGCTCCACTGAAACGAGTATCAGAATATGTTTGTAATTTTCTTTCGAGTTTCATTTGTCGATGTGATCGACGTACATGTGCAACTATACGCTTTGTCCTTTCGAAAAGATCTTGTGCTGTATGACAATTGACAGGTTTGTGATCAATATCGGTTGATGTAAATGAATGTTCAACTTGTTTATTCAAATAATGAATTGAACATCCTACACGAATACATCCAGTTTTGAATGCTGCACGCATTTTATTTTCATTATCCGTTACTACGAATTTCGAATCATCTAATGTTAAACCAAATGATAATAAATGAGATTCCACAAATTGACGAATATTTGGTGCTGTTTGTGATTCCATATCATACATAAAACAACCAAGAATAAAGTTTTGTAGTTTGAAATCTTTTGTAACATGTCGTAATGCTAATCCACAATACGAAATACCTGAAATATAAATTGAAAAAAAGGAGTTAATAAATAATTAACAGGTTTATTTTATCTTGTATCTTTTATTCTAAAAGCATAATAAAGACAACTAACCAGTAGAGTAGAGTGGGGCAATTGAAGACAAAAAATCACTTGCTATTTTTGTGACGAACATAAGTTCGTCATTTTTTGGAATTTTTCTCTACTTTTTTTTCT